CAAAAAAAGTGCGCACTTGTCTTTTAAAAATGTAGTTGTGAGCTTCTGAACCCAGAGCTTCTGCTTCATGTACAATAATTTCTTTAGTCTTTTCTCTATAAATGTTTAATAAAAATCATAGCGGAATCATATGTATAGTGAATGTACACTAATTTACGATATCATAAATTATGGTTTTAAAACTATGGTCTGGAATTATGGTCTAGAATTGTGGTTTAGATGAATTCAGATCAACGACTGTGAATATAATGAGAGAACCCAAGTAGTAAAAGTGTTAAAAATTCGCAAAAAAAATGTTATTTTTCAAAATTTTATGTAATAAAAGCAAGTTTTAAATTTGTTTTCGATTATTTCAATACATTTTATTTTCAATTTTTAGATATACATTTATTTTTCCTCTTAATCTTAGTATTTCATATAAAACGTTTCACCGACGAGCTTTAACTAAAACTTTGGCAACCCTCCAAGAATAATTTACTCTTATTTGTTATTTGCAAATTACTTCTCTTGATCATTTTTTTCAATTGCTCGCAATTGTCTCGCAAAATACCATGTCCTGAACCCTTTGTAGAAACCATCCTTCTTGAAAATTTTGAAAGGACTTGTACGCTCCGAGTGTAAAGTCCAAACTGGTGGCCCTAAATCGTCATTTTGGCCTTCAACATACGAGCTTCTCCAGTCGTCCTCACTGACACCTTTGATTTTCTGTACAGTAAAGTAAGTTCTAAGCCAGTTTTTTCCAGTAATTGGCACGACATTTTCATTTACTGGCTCCTCAAATTGTGTCTCTTGTCCGTTATCTTTTGCAATGTCCTCGTTATTTTTCAATTGTTGACAGGGATCTTGCAATGTGTTGGGAGCAGTGATTGATTGCTGTAACTGTTCTTTTAGTCTTTCTGTCTCTTTATAGATAGTTTGGCATTTTTCTATAGGGATATTCATTTCAATCTCAGCATTTTTTGTGCCTTCCACACTCGTTTGATTTTGAAAAAGATTCTTCGTGGACCCACTATCCGGAATTTTATCCTCTATTGGGCAATTGTAAAGGTCATTTAGTGTCCCACTATCTGGAATATTATTCTCCAATGGATTTTCGGAAAGATTCTTCGAAGTCTTGCAATCTGGAATATTTATGCCATTTGGAGTACCACAATAGGGAATATTTACTTCAATTGGATGTTTGAAACCAACTTTCGGAGTCCCAAAATCAGAATTACTGACCTGTTTTGGGTTGAACAAATCATCTAGAGTCCAGTATTCTCTAAAATTTTCTTCACTCGAATTTTTCAAAGTACTTTCTGGAATTTCAGAACTCGGAATATTTTTATTTCTCTTCTTCGAATCATCGGAATTAACTGCTCCAAGCTGTAACTCTGATGCAGTTTTTGAAAATTCCTCGTGCTGGGTTTTTGGAATGTCTGGTTTACAGTCATAAATATATTTCAACTCTTTCCCAGCAGGAAAGGTGATGTTAACAACTGTTTCAGATTCAATATCTTTCACATAACTGTTCCTTTCAAGCTCAACTTCCGCTTCAAAATCTTTAACATTTCTTTCTGTATTTTCATGAAGGGTAAGAGTATCTGATATTTTCTGAGAATCACTACCTTCATCGCAATCTTTAGTAAAATTTATCAAATCTCTGTTCGTAATATCTCCGAGCTTCATTTCAAGACTTTGTCTCCCTGGAAAAATCATACAGCTTAGTGCATCAGCTTGTTTTGAATCATATTCTTTTTTAAACAAATTTCCTTCTGCTGTCTTGCAGGTACAGGTTTCACATATACCATGTATTTTACCACTGGCCAAAGCTTGAGAACCAGACACTTTAGTTTCAGGAACTGAGGTCATAGTCTGGGCATTAACGAGATCATTATCTATCAATGGAATTATGGGATCGAATGTTAACTTCTTATTATCTTGTAATTTCATACTTGGATCTTTCCTTACATCATTCTGGTTGTCCATTCCTTTTAAATTTAAGTCTTCCCGGTTGTTCGTTTGTCGATTGTGAACTACTAATTGGGGTCTGTTCATTTCTTTTTCAGAAATTAAATTCTCGTGATCAATTTCATCAATAATATTGTCTTGTGAAATAATAATCGGATTTGTCAGCACTTTTTTGTCTGTTTCCTCAGAGGTTGCAAAGCTTTTTATGTTATCGATGTGTGTTTGTGTGGAAGCGGTTTTGTTTGGAATGATCCTTTGAGATGATATTTCATTTGAATCTTGTAATTTCCCAAGAACTTCTTTATTTGTCGAAACCTTTTTTCCTAAATGTTGTCCTGTTTCTGTCTCTTTAGTCAAATTTTCCATTAGGTCTATCATTACTGATATATAATCGGGCAGTAGATATGAAAATTCTTTTATACTTTCAAATGTTTCCGACTCTTTTTGTTCCAGCAACAAACTTCGCGCACTATGATATTCATTGTTTTGTTTAGGCTCAGAAACTGTTATCCTTTCAAGATTAGGTGTGCTGCTTACTGTAATTTTCTTCTGTGGGAGATCTTTTAATCTATGAGGAGTTTTCGGATCTTTTAGGAGGAATTTCATCTCATTATTGTGGCTAAATTTTGGAACTCTGCTATTCATCATATTTTTATCAGTCTTTTTTTGTGAAGCGTATCTTTCTTTAGCCAAATGAGCACGTCCTACGATAAAAATTCATGTCTGATTAAGGTAATAAATAAGAGTAATTTAATTAGCCCATTTAAATCTGAAAAGATACCAAATAATGTTTCAATAATTTTTTTTATTGTTGCTTGTCATTGGACTATAGTTGCTCGTTACTAGGTTGGGTTTTGTAGCAATTCACTATACATCTGAAGACCCACCCTGATTTTAAAAAAAAGTGAAAAGTTACCATTATTGAGAAATTTTGAAATAATGTTTATTTGTAATATTTGCCGTCTTATATGCGATGATTAGTAATTTAGAGTTATATCATATAATTGTTTTTTTAGATGATTCATAATTTAGAATTGTTTTATATAATTGCTCTTTAGATGAATAACTATTGTATATAATATGAGCATTTCTTTTTTTTACCTCAGACATCTTAAATAATTATAAATTACGTTAAATTTGAGTGTAATAATTTTGCTGATTTCTTATGTCTGATCATACCTGTGAAATGCGAACACACAATTATGCTCTTCTATCTTTGTTTTATTCTTAAATGATATTAATTACGTATTTTTTAATTTGTGATTATTAGTTAAATTTGGATTTATAGTTAATTTATAATTGATTTCTCTGCATACAATTTACAATTCAAGTGCAATCCAAATTGTACTAATAACGGATTTTGATTGCGAAGAGTGCCTACTCTACGAAATATTTCCTAGATATTTTGAAGCAATGAAACATTTTGTTAAAAAAGCACTGTAACAATTTGAAAAATTGTACCGCATTATTAAATAATTTTCCTGTATTATTAAACAAAATAATAAAAATATCACCTATTAGGAGTTATTTCTTATTTGAAATTATATTTCGGGAAACAAATTTTAAAATTGAGTTCTAATTTTTTAAGGGTGAACATTTTAAGTCTGTAAAAAAAATTTTATTCATATTTTTAGAAAGTAAGAGTTAGATCCCGTAACTTAAATATTACATAAACAAAGAACAAAAACTGGTCTAGCCGATTAAACCACTAAAAATGTAACTTAATGTACGTGAAAATTCAATAAATACATTAAAATTCAATGAACATATTAAAATTTTTTAAGTGTTACTTATTTGTTACTGAAATATGAATATTTTTCATTAATGTGACAAATTGAAAGGAAAATTGAATATTGGTTTATCAGGATTCTTGCTTGTCATGGTTTTGGTTTGCCGAGATTCCAGCTTAGCCCATGATCCGTCTACCACTGAAGGTATTTTACGTTAGCACTGTAGTCGGTGCGAGCCGGGTGCGGAATTCGTATCGTCTAGCCATCTCTGGTATTAGAACCCGGTTCACCTTATTGAAAGGCTAACGCTCTATTCCCTCAGCCGCCATGGCTCTGCAACATAAGCTGAATAAATTGTTCGAGTAATAAAAGTCATGAACTTATTTTCCAACAGCACCAATCAAACATTTATAAAAAAAAAAAGATTACTTTTCCCTTTCGCTGGTTCAAGCAAATTAGTAAATTCAGCTATTTTATCTTTTTAAAAAAGCTATTTTCAGCTATTGTATTTTCAGCTATTGTATTTATTTTTAATTGTGAAAAGTAATCGTGACTAAAAAAAATAATAATAAAACAAAAATTATAAAAACAGTTTACTTGCTCCCGATGACTTTACATTCGCCTGCGTCATCAAAATGAAAAAGTACCGTAATAATAATAATAAATAAATAAATGAATAAATAAATAAATATATTACCGTCCTTTTCCCGTACTTTGATTTCAAAATACCTTGCCGAGAACTTATATATATCAGCTGCATCCTCAAGTTCGGCATCAAGTAGCTCTGTTAGATACGGCAGTAAGAATTGGTCCACAAAATCCGGGGGGAGGCATGCTCTATTCATCTTCAAATTCTATCCTTAAAACGAAAACAAAATATTCATTGTTAATTTACAATATCCATTTGAAACTATTAATCATTTCATTTTTATTGATATAACTGAAACATTTAACTGAAACATTTTTTATTGATATAACTGATTTCATACAAGCATTTCAGCATTCTTTAATATTTCATACAAGCATTTTAGCATTCTTTAATATTTCATACAAGCTTTCATACATTAATATTTCATACAAGCATTCTTTAATATTTCATACAAGCATTACTAATGTTTTATTATTAATGGTCTAATGGATTTTAGAGCATTCCTGCATGAAAAATTAGTTCTTCATTTTTTATGTAGATGGCAGCAGCTCAATTTTGATTTTAAAGATTATAGTTTTAATTTTGAGGTATAGATAGCAGCACCAAATATTGCCTTCTATGTGAACTGTTTCCATGGTGATATTCGAAACATTTCATTTTGTTGTTATCAAACTAACTAAACAATGGAGGAAGCTTTTGAAAGCGATGATAAAAGTTCAGATACTTTGGATGAAGAAAAAGGAATATTTCATGTCACTCAAATATTACCAGCTGTAGCCGAAGCTGAACTGATACCAGATTTACCGGATGCAGAAACTGTTGAAGAACAAATTGAACCAGGTGAAGACAGTTGTACGTATCAATTAAAGCCGGATGTAACTATAAATCGCCAACAAATAAATGTGAAAGCAAAAAGCATTTTAAAAAAATTTCTCGCCAATAAAACATATTCCGAAATCGACATGAAGGATTATTCTCAAAGAATTTCTGTTGCTCTTCGTGAGGAATTGAAAAATATGGGATTGAATCGTTACCGAATAGTTTGCCAAGTGACAATTGGAGAAAAATTGAATCAAGATGTAGTGATGACATTTCTTTGTTTATGGAAACATGATTTTGATCATTATGTTGTCGCCAACTATGACAACGAAACATTTTTTGCTACAGCAGTGATTTTTATTGTATACAAACAGTGATTAATAATGACATTAAAATGTGTTACTTGCATTTTATATTCATAATATTTTATGTTTATATAAGAATTATTAATACAAAATTGTTTTTTTAAATCATTTATTTTGGACATGCCTTCTGAATATATAGTATTCTATCTCGAAATTTTATATTTCACTTAAAACTTATGCATTATATTTTATACTTTAAATTATATATACTGTCCTACTGTATATATANCTTATGTATATATATATAAAGATAGAGAGGAGGGGGGTGCAGATCACGACAGTATCTATTCTGAAATGGTTATTTTTTCCATTAAATAATTAACCAGTTAAGCTTGTAAAATTAATCTTTAGGACCTGAATTATTTTTGAAAAAATTAAGTATGGTTTGAATTTTTATTTGGTAAGTTGAGAAATATCATTTTATTAATTAGTTATTTAAAATTTTATCTATTTTAATTTGAAGATCATTGTATACTTTTTTTATCATTAAACACTCTTTTAATACTGATTATTGAAGTCAAAGCGTTGATTCGTAAATATAAGAGATGTTTCAGGCATCTATTTATTAGTATTATATGCATTATTTTTATTATTATTATTTGTATTATTATCTTTTTAAATTATTTGTATTATTATTAGTTGTTGTAGGAAAGACATCATTGGTACGACAGAGAAGTTATGAAATTGTAAGCAAACTTATGGAAATGTTTTCAAAACAAATGTGAACATTCAATGCAATAAACAATTCAAGTATATGCTTAAATATCATCGAAAATAAAAACAAAAATAATGAATTACACATAATGACAGATTAATAAAAAGTATTTATGCTCACATACTTAATTATATAATACATTTTGTGATATTTATATAATTTTATAAATCACACTTACGTTTGAAAAGATATGTCTATTGTCTTATAGAGGTGTCATTTAAAAAATCAACAACGCATATTGCTGATTATGATGCCTTTTTTCCCTAAAGAATTTCTATAATATTTAAAATATCTAATAAAAACATCTTTTTAAATAAATAAATTTTTGAAGGGTTCTTTAAGCAGGGATATCTTTCGTGACCTAAGAAGCAACAATCTGACGTCACGAATTAGGGAAAGGGCTTATCTGGTTCACTTTCAGCTCTCAAAGTGAAATAAAAAATAATCTAAAACATTAAAATAATAACATAAATATTTAAAGGAAAGAATGTCTTATAAAATGACTGTCTTTAAAGACCATTTTTAAAGGAATGATCTACGGACTTTCAATCTTAACATATAAGAGTGAAAGTCCGAACATTATGATTTGCATCGATTCCAATTCTGCATTCAGAATTTTTAGGGATTTCTGAGAGCATAATTGTGATATGCATATTTAATATTAACAATTTATGTATTTTTGGAAGCATCTTTGAAACCATTTTATTCGCTCAAGAATAGAATTAGTAAATATGCAATTCACTTTAATCTGAATAAACATTTGAGAAATATTTGTAAAATTTCCACTCTAACACTAAAGCATGCAAAATGTGAACAAATTTTCTTTTTTTTTTTTAGAATAGAAAAATGGCAACACCATCCGACCAAATGTGTACATATACAGCCCCCCGCTGCGGTTATAGACATAATTATTCGCTGCCGATTTGTTTACTTCTTAAAAGAATAAAACAAAGAATAATTTTACACATTTTGTTTTTTTATTGTTGTTTTTATATTTTACTTACTTATATACTTTTCTTCACATATTTTTGCTTTTATATTTTTCACCTTCAAAATTTCGCAACATCGTCTTAATTTTAAAATTTTTATTGGATTGAAGGAAAAAAAACTTTACTATATAATAATTTTAGCATTAACAAAAAATGAACGAAAGGTTGCATATATAGGACAAGGAGACATAATTATAAATTCTCTTCAAATCCAAAACATGAACAAACCACTTTCTTTTACTTCTATAACCACCAATTCGAGATATAGGAACTCGAAAAACTTTTGTTTTAAGTATGAGAGCAAAAAAAATATCTAATTACTTTAACAATGTGCTTCGAATTATTTTTGATAGTGCGGCACATACATAATCCTTATTTCCTTGATTAAACTCTTTTTTTTACCCCCCGCAGAATTTAGAATTCGATTAAAAGAGAAAAACAAAACTAAACGAAATAAAGATTAATATGTAGTGGCGCCACCTGTTTTTCATTTGTTCCTAAACAAATAATGTGTGAACCAGTTGGAAAATAAATATTATCAATAAAAAAGAAATTAAAAAAATCAACCTGGGGAAAACATTTAATCTAATATAATCTAATATAAAACCAAAAACAATTTCATTATGCAATTCTTTCCTAAATTAGTGGATCTTGGTTCTTCTTAATAAAAAAAAAATGTAATCAAAATATTGCAATTATGACAACCTAAGCCTAAATAACATAGAAGAATTTAATTTTCTAATCGTAGTACGAAAAGGTGTTGTTACAATATTAACACTTGCATTAAAATTATTTTTAAAAAAAAATTGAACATTGGATATAACTAAAAAGCATCGAACTTTTTGTAAAGTATAATTTTATTAATCTGATAAGAAATTTTATTCCGTCAACCTTCACATTCAGTAGAATTAGCATTTTTTTAAAAATGAGTGTAAATAATAAAATAAATAATAACAAGAGTATTCAGATTAAATCAGATTATTTTTTCTATATTAAAAACGCAAATACATTTCCAATTACTCAAATACAAAACACAAAAGAAAGAGCAAATTTAAATATGCAAGTTCAGACCGAAATGAAAGTTAGAGAGAAAAAAAACGAAACAACTGTTCGTATTTAAAATGAACAATTCGTTTCGTTTTAAATACGAATTTATTAATTTAGTAATTAATTTCTAATTTAATTTAATGAAATTATGTTCATAGTCATAATTTTTAGTACGGAATTTCTGAAAATAATTTTTTAAAAATTCCATATAAAAACATGAGTTAATAATAAAGCATATAAATTTACGAATTCAATGATTTCTTTTTTAATTATTTAATAAATACATATCTACATTTCCTCTTAGTTCCTTGAAATAAGAAATCGTAAAACAAATACAATAAAATATCAGATATTAATATTCGAATATTCCCATATATATGTGATATCTAAAATAATCGCTTAGTAGAATTAAAGGATCCAAAAACTAAACCTAAAAAGAATCATATTTTAATTGTAGATTAGCCCTTCTTAGCTGATGAGATCATTCAATAATCTCTTTCACCTAAATCATAATAGAATAATTCCCGTATAAATTATCGTTAATTAGTTAGAAATGCAATTGTTATTTATAAAATGAATCCATATTGTGCAGCAAAATATCTTTATAAAACCGAAATATTTAAAATATATATTTTGAGATTTTAATACTCTTTCATCCGGTTTTATGATTACTTATTATCGCGTCAACACTAACAAAGAACTCTAGATATTATGGATCACATGACATGAAAAAAATGACAACTATATGCAACATGTGTACAAACATGAGTACGTGTCTTTTGAAAATGAAGTTGTAAACTTGTCCTCAGGAGCTTAATGAAACGGTATCTTTCTGATTAAAAATGTGCAGAAATGAACGTGTCATGACATGTAAATTGCAGAATTTAAAGATCAGGAACTAAAATGTCTGAGAAGAGGTTGTTATTAGAATATTAATGAATATCTTTCTGCTTAAAAATGTGCAGAAATGAACGTGTTATGACTTGTAAATTGCAGAATTTAAAGATCAAGAATCAAAATGTCTGAGAAGAGGTTGTTACTAGAATATTAATGAAAAGGTATCTTTGCCACTAAAAATATGTCGAAATGAATGTGCTTTGCCATGTAAATTGCAGAATTTAAAAATCAAAAATGTCTTCAAATAGGTTGTTATTAGAAATATTAATGAAAAAGTATCTTTCCGATTGAAAATATGCCGAAAAAATGTGTTGTAATTTGTAAATTGCTGAATTTAAAGATTAAGAATTGAAATGTCTTATCAGCATGAAAGAGTTTTCCGTTATAAATATTAATAAGAAAGTATCTATCTGATTGAAAATGTGCCGAAATAAATTAATATGTAAATTGCAGAATTTATGTTGATAAAAGAAAATATTGAAATGTTTGATCAGTATGAAAGAAGTTGCTATTATAAATAATAAATGAGTCTCTTCCTGATGAAAAATAAGTCAGAACATATAAATTGCACTTGAAAAGGTTCGAAGAATGTCTCAAGATCAGAATAATATTTATGAGAGTGTAAATTATAAAAAATGAAGCTTTTAGTTTATTGTAGGGTCAAAAATTTTTTTTCTTTCTTTCTTCTTCTTTCAAATCCCCATTTCTAGCCTAGCTAGACAAGGTTCATGAGATTGTTCACCTTCAAAAAGTCTTTTAAAATGTTCAATGAATATTGAAGAGTTTGCTACAGGAGATACCATTATAAAAGTTTCTTTCCGAATGAAAATATTCAAAAAGGGAGTATACATCATAACATTTAAATTACATTGAATATGTTAAGATTTAGACAGTTCGGAAAAAACCCGGATTATTCTGTATAACTTTTGATCTAATGAATGGATCTCCACTTTCTAGAACTCAATCTTAATAATTTAATGGTTAATGGGGGTGACCTCAAATAAGCAAATAATTTGAGCAGATGATATTTTAAGCTAAGAAATCACACACAAAAATCTATTTTTTTCTGAATAAACAAATATCCCCCCCCCCTGGAGGATTCGGATTTCTGACCCCCAAAATATAGGGCGCAGCAGCACTCTGGGTATGTCCCAGAGTATGGGGGCAGCAGCACAATGGTATATAGGGGGCAGCAGCACAATGTTTAGACTCCTTAATGTTATTCTTGCTTTTTACGTATTTCATCGTTTTAACTCGAGAATTTTTTAAGCGAATTGAATAATTTAGGCGCCTAATTATAAGATTCGTTTATCCATGCAAATAATAACATTTAGTAAATATTTATTTGAATTTTATCATTCCATTTAATAATAGTCGAAAATTTTTTTATGATTC